AATATCTAGCATTTAGCAGGTTCTGGATTCAAAGTTCATTTAAATGAATGAATAAAGACTGCGGAATAAGAACTTTAACACTAAAATACTACTCAGTGGCTTGAGACATGTAAATGTTCACGGTCATGCTAATAAGTGAGTTTAACGGAGTGGAACAGTAGGTAAACTTGGGAAAAATCCCACAGCAAAAGTAAATATCTCACTCAAATATCATCTCCTGCTTCCCACACAGAGGAACATTTTTTGTCTTAATTGACGTATGGCCTTCAGAGCATCTACAACCCCCTGAAAGTTTAGGTAGAATTATTTGTAGATGTGTATTTTCCAGCTACTTCATAGGTTCATCTGAGTTTCCGAAATTCCTAATCCTCACTCATGTGCACAGGTCCACACTTACATACACACATGTTCAGAACTGCTTTTTCATTTGACAGAAAGAGAGCTGTCAAATGAAAAAGAATAAGTTTATGTAATAAATCAAGGTTGAAGAAATGTGAAAATACTGCTTAGAAAGCATGGGTAGTGGAGGTTAGAACGACAAACACCCACACCAGATAACCAGGGCTCTGATTTCCAGAACTGCCTTGGCTGCAAACTTGATAAGGGACCTTGGGCAAATCTGAGGCTTGTGAAAATCAGAGTTGGGACAAACTTTGACCTCATGTATTCCACCCTCCTCCTCCCAGCTCACAGATGAAGAAATTGTGGCTCAGAAGAAGATCATCCATTCCCAAAAGTTATAGCAAGTTATAGATAATAAAGGCCAGGTTTCCTGAACTTCAGATTCAGGAAAACGATTTCCACTCTCTGAACATCTATACTATAAAGTTCAAGGTGAGTGTTTAGATCCAATGGTCTCTGAGTTATCTTCTAGCTGATGGATAATTACTACTTTCTTCTCTAAACACGGAAGATTCATGTAAATATGGGTTTGGTTTTGGCAAAGATTACACCAGCTGCTTCTCAGTCCCAGCCTAGTCCCACGAGGCAGAGAGGAGGGTCTGAAAGAAGGCAAGACATTGTTATTAGTCCTGTGTAGCCCAGCAGTTGAACACTGCAGGCCGTGAACTGGAGTTTACTATGTTGGCTGTTCCTCTCTCATCCCCTTCTTATTAATCTCTCATCTATCTCCTCTTTATTAATGTTCCCAAACCATGTGCAGTAAATAGCCAGCTAGGAGCTCATCCTCAGCTTCCTATAATTCTCTGGATCAGAAAAAGGCAGGAGGTGGGTGGGGGAAAGAGTGATGATGTCAGAATCAAATAACCTCTTCCAGGAAGGACTGCAAGGGAATCCAGTCTGCTAACAAAGGCAGCAAGCAGAAGATGACCAGACGCCACTGTGCCACTGCTTCATGAAATTAATAAAGACGCCTGGAGTCCATGTGCTTTAAAGACATCCCACATCCCTGCACTGACACTGAGATTGTTTTGCCTGAAAGACAATAGCCTTTTAAAAAATACTGTGAAAAGGCAGTTTGTAGAAAACGATTTCTCTGTTTAAACAGAGATACAACTATGGAGTTAGAAGAAAGCACAATAGTCTAGGATCAGTCACTGCCACAAACCAGATTCCCTGCCTGACCCCCAGATCTCTACCTCTGAAGTAAGAGAATCCGGTTAGATTGACTCTTAAAAGTCCCTTCTGGGTCTGGCATCCTGACCTCTCTTTACAGGTCCAATGATACACTCTGGAAAAGGCAAATGAAAAAGAAGAATCCATCCCTTACCTACAGTCTTAATCGGGGGTAAATTTACCAAATCCTCTAAATAGTGGGCCCAGAGCACGGAGCAATGTTATAACATAGAGTACCATGAGCGAAGATGGATTTATTTTTTGTTTTCGATGAGAAACTGCAAGGTACTGGGAGTAAGAGATGACCAGTGTGTAAATACCCAGTCATACAGCGTGTACAGTCCCAATCACTAACTGCTCTTCTGGTATGTAAGAGAAGCGATGCAAAGCCGAAAAAATAACCACTTTCCCATATCAGCCCTGTAATAGCATCATAGGACTTTCCCACGATTCTGAAACATGGCAGCAGGAAGGAGAAGGGATTGGCTAAGAAATAAAATCATCCGTAATAGACCATTTAACTAAAAGTAATGCCATAATCAATCAGTAAAACGTGGTCTGTTGTTAGATACAGAAACAGGCCTCACAGAGGAAGGTGACTTGCCCAAAGTGACACAGCCAGTTAGCATCAGAGGTCGGAGTAGAATTAGATTCTCCTGGCTCCTGGCTCACATAACATCTGACACATTGCTTCACTCCTCAAAACAATGAGATCCTAACAAGGTAATTAAATAATTTCACTCATAACCACTGCCTCTACCTCCATTTCAAAAGACAGTAACTGATTAATTTTACTTAAGGCGGTCTAGGACTAGTTCTGCCAAATTATAATAAACAATTCACTCTGGCAATATAGACAAGTCCATGAGAATTAATTGGGTATTATTCATCCCTGCTAATGAATCACCCGTGGAAAACAGGGATAATCAACGGTCTTCAGGAGGCCAGAGCCTGTTCTTGTTCAAGTACAGATCTTGCCTATTAAAGAACATTAGGTATCAGCTCTAAATAGTAAACAGGGTATACTGTTTCAGATCCCATGAAGCGCAGCTTTAAATAGATTTGGTTTGGAAATGGGACAAGGAACACACGGCAGTTGGTGGATCAGCGTTGAAAGCAGAGAAAAACAATGATTACACTCATTAAGTGGGTACCTGTTGACACATCTACTGTCGAGTCTAATTATTTATTTAAACTGTTATTCTTTCTTCATTACTGCCACTGATACCAATTATTACCACAAGATTATTTTAAATTTCTACAGCATGCCCCTAGAATATTTACTTCTCCACTTTTCAAAGGTTATTTGAGAAGTTTCTATCCTCCCCTCCCCACTAGGCCCCACCTGCCACATACAGAGGAGAGAGGAGGAGGGTTGAGGGGTAAGAATTGGGGAGAGAGACAGAGAGACAAAGAGACATGGGGGGGGGGCCGGGGGCAGGGGAGAAAGAGAAAGAGAGAATTCTTTTTTTTCAAGAGTAATTTTTGGTAACCTTTCAAGGCTTGCTTAAAACTCCTTGTAGTTTCAGGATGGGTTTCAGTGGTGAAGAGGGGCTCAGTTAACTACTTTTCAAAGCTGATTCTGTTAATATTTAACAACTGACAGCTGGGGGAAGATTAGTATGATAACCACAGTTTCTATACGAAAAAGTTGGATCTCTGCCTCACAGAGCTATCAAAAACTATGATGTAGATGTCTACAGTACCTTATTTTCTGATATATTTATGTGCAAAAATAATACATTAGAAAGAAGTTTTTGCATGGTCATTTTAAGGACTAGAGCATGGTTAAGAGATGGGTAGGCACTTTTCCTGTATTTTTTGGTACTATTCTTTAAAAAAAAAAAAATGCTCTCTTTTATAAGAATGAGAGCATTCTCTCTCTACACAACTCAAGTATCTGCTATGCCTAATTTAATTATAGGAGTTTCACAGTCCATACAAAACCAATCTTATATGCACATGAGGTGTACTTATTTTTTGTATATAATAAACATTAGCTTTGAAAATCTTGTTCATTTTCAGTCCTACAGATATGGGGCACTATCAACCAATTTCATTTTCTTCAAAGTTCTGCACAGCTAAAGTCATGTTTGCAATTCAAGATCATATGGATATACTATACCAAAGAAATTAACAAAATATTCAGCAAAACAAATGTTTAAAATACTTTAAATAATGAATCAAATCTTCTACAAAGTTACTTTTCTACAAGGTCTGCACTTAGGAACACTATATTCCCTACTTCCCCTCTTTTTGATTAAGAATTATGACAGATTACGTAGAACACAGTGGTGCTCCCTTGGAGGTACAGGTTATCAGCAAGTTTCCCGCAGGGGAATAAATCACATTTTGAACATTTTATAACTATGATGCTTCCTATAATGTTTTTTTCCATTGCCGTCCAATTTCTAGACAAACTTAAGACAAACATACTCCTCTACCAAAGGCTGATCTCCTTCACATTGGTCCACCAGGAATGTGGCAAACAGATACCATGGGCTGGGGTTTCAAAGATTCTAACTCATTTTCTGGTTGTTGTTGTTGTTGTTTGTTTGGTATTTTTTGTTTGTTTGTTTTTGCAGCCTTGGTTCTATCTTTTTGTGGTGAATTGTTATGCAGCTAAGAAACAGTTACTTACCCACCTAGTAACCATTGGCACCTTCAGAGGGGACATTGGCAACAGAGTGGTGAAAAATGCACTCAATCAAAGGAGCGGGGAGAGGAAAGGGGGTGGGTGACTGACTGGTTCTCACCTAATGTGCACAAGGTGAGGGTGTTCAGCACACTCCCTGGGTGAAGGGTTCTACTGCAACTTAAACTTGACCTTAGAAATAAAAACAATGTAACCTAAACATTTGTACCCTCCTATCAATCTGAAATTAAAAAAAAAAAAAAAGTCGATCCTTTTGTAGTTCATAAGCGTGATGATTGGGTTCTCATGTGCATGCGTGCGATGTGCCTCCCACGAATCTTGTTATGACGTTGGTGACAGCAGCACATTACCCATCTGACGTGAAATGAGAAAAATAAGAAAAGGAAAGAAAGAAAAAAGACCCCAGTCAAGGGCCAGGAAACTCGGTAAAAAGCACCCCCTGCCACACACTAGCTGGGGATACAGTAAAATAACCAGTGAGAACATTCTATTTCATGGACATGTAAATATTCATTAAATTTGAGTTTCCAATATAGCCCAGATTTGTGTGCTTTTGATATTAAACCTTAATGGCTAGAAATTGAAAGGAAAAATGAAATCAAGAAGACACAGGTTTTCTTGTGGGTAGCTCACTGTCTTGGCCATTTTTCAGGTTCTGTTGTTCGTAAAGTACTCATATTTCTTCCATCAGGAATAAAATCAGCCTTATACATTGTCACCTCAGATGCCTATTAGCACTGCATAAACATGAAGATGCTGATCCTCTTACCTCTGGCAGCTGCTCTTGGAACGGTCAGTGGACGGACACACAGTTTAGCCAACTGCAATGCTGCTGTCTGTAAACGAAACAGATAAAAGTCACTCCCAGGAAAGAACCCTACATTTATTCCTTAATCATTATAACTTCTTTGATCTATATAGTGGCATCTTGTTTTCAAAACATTTGCATATTCATTTCAGCCCACAACTCAGTGAAGAAGCAGGAAAGGATTATTCTACTCCCTTCCTAGGTGAATAAGCTGAAGCTCAGAGATGTGAGGAGAACTAACATCACAAATACTGTGTCAAATGGGTATTATTATCTTTATTTTACAGATGTGAATACTAGAGATCAGAAAGGTAACCAACTTGCCCAAGACTACACAGTGCAAAACATGCCTATGCACAGGTCTTTTCTGTATGTTTTTATTTTATTTTTTTTTTACTTTTTCCAGACAAAGTCTCACTTTGTTGCCCCGGTAGAGTGCCATGGCATCATAGCTCACAGCAATATCAAACTGTTGGATTCAAGCGATCCTCTTGCCTCAGCCACTCAAGTAGCTGGGAGTATAGGTGCCCACCACAATGCCCAGCTATTTTTAGATGTGGGGTCTTGCTCTTCTTCAGGTTGGTCTCAAACCTGTGAGCACAGGCAATCTACCCCCCTCGGCTTCCCAGACTGCTGAGATTACAAGCCTGAGCCACCACGCCCAGCCTTAGTGTACAAGTCTTGAACCAAGGGCTTTTCCTACTGGCCCAATAATCTTTCCTTTCTACTTTAGTTTCTCCTAGGTTGTTAGGTTGGGAAAAACAACAGCTTGTTGACTTGATCCACAAGGCTTGGTGGTAAGAGAATAGTAAGTAAAACCAGCTATTTGTTTGACATGAGGAAGTGGGAAAAACACACAGGATTTAGAACCAGTCAGACTTGTCTTCCTCTTACCAGTGGCCTCAGGCAAGTTATCTAAACCCAGTGTCGATTTCTTTCTTTGTAAATAAAGATTATAGCTTATACTTCAGAGCCAAAGCTGGCCAACGTTCAACTTCTTTTAGAACATCTTCCTCCATTATCCCACATGTATCGGTATGTGTAATGGTGATAACATTTCTAATGGTGATAACATTTCTTCCCATAAGTCCATCTTTACCTGATCAAAGGATAACTTCATAAGCATGAATTGCCAGAAAGTATCTCTGGATGGGGTATTTCTTGGATTGATGTTTCCTAGGTTTACAACCCCACAATATCTATGTCAATGTTACATGACCTCACCTAACAACAAACAACACAAAGAATTTTTAATTCAAAAGACAAGTGCTCAAGATAAAAAGTATCAAATGTTCCCACAACCCCCTCACCAAAAAGCAAAAAATATACTGCTTTAGGTGGAAGACCAACAGCACCATTTTAAAGTTTGTGCCTTAGGTTCACAGAGATGGAGCTTCTCATTCATCTGACTGCGAGGACAAAAGGGAATTTGGTTTAATCTGACTGCGAGGACAAAAGGGAATTTGGTTTAATAGAATGGATAGATTTACTGAGAAATAGGACTTCTGAGAAGTTTTCTTAACATATCCTATTTTCATAAAGGACTCAAATCAGATTTAAAAAAACAACGTGGTTGATAAGATGCCCTGCAAGAACCTTGTCATCTGCCACTAAAATCAAAACATTAATCACTTTTTAACATTGTATTTTATTTTAAACTTTAGAAAAATGTCTTTCATCATCATCATTATAACTCCGTTGAGAGCTTATCACCCTAATTTTACAAATACAGAAACCAAACCTCGCAGATCACATGGTTAACATAGAGCAAATAAAAATAGAACATTGTATCTTGAGACCAAAACCAGTAAACACCCTTCTATTACATGATGTAGCCTCCCAATTAAGATCATGCTTACTAACTTCAGTAACGTAACAACTTCCGGAAAGAGAAGACCAGTCCATAATAGAGAAAATTCTGTTGTTAAAACATAAAGCGTATGTAGTTCTGAGTTCTGCTTCTGTGGTCTAACCAGAAGGTAACTTTTTACTAAGCTGAACACTTTCTCAGATCTCCCCAGTGAAGTTTCAGAGGCGCCACATCCTTGGGCAAAGTGTTGAAACACAAGCCACATAAACAACAAAAGTTTGTACCATGAGTTTATGAAAAGAATCCTTCATCAATAAACTTCGTTTTAAGTAACAGAAGAGCTGAAGCCTTCTAGCTCAGTTCACCAGCCCTCTTCACATGGTTTGATCATCATGTGTGCTCAGTAGTTCTCGGATATTTCATACATTGGAGTCCCCCATAAACCCATAAAGACATCGGGGACAAGTGACACATCCTGCTCAAGGCCTTCTGCTAATGAGTCGGTTATCCTTGGCTATCTCTGTGTATTGTACAACCGCTGACTCAGAAGCTGGCATGTCTGCACCCTTTGTCAAGCCATCCATCCTCTCCCCCCAGTAAATAGCCTCAACCCCAGAAGCAATTTCAATCAAAAACAAAGAAATCTGAATAAGGAATTTCCAACTTGCAAGACTTCAACCTGTTAATTAGAAGCTATGCAAAGCAAGACTCATTAAACCTAGTGGAGACTTCTGGCATCTGTTACAAACCTTGGTAACCTTTGAATCTACTGCTGCCCCCCAAGACAAATTTAAAGCAACACGACTCTAGGATAATGACCCTAACATTATGAACAAAAGTCTTAAAGTGCTAACTAAATAGCACTGGATCAGTACAAAGATAACTCATAATACTTGATATTTTGTAAGTGCTACAGTACAAATGAGTGATACGACAGTATCTTGTAATAACTTCTACTAAGCCAGTAACCTGGTAACTCTTTCAGCCTGTCATCCCAAATGTTCATTCTGAATAAGGGACATTATTTTGACAAGAACAAGGGAATGGGAATTATGAACCTGAGTTCTGGACTCAGTGCTCTAATTCCTAAATCTTTTTATTAGAAGTCATATAAAAACATATTTATTTTCAAGTTTTTAGTTTTACAGGTCTTGTTATTCTAAAACCACTATGAAAAGTCCAAATGTTATTTTTTCTAGGTTTTGTGCACCATTGCACATTCCACATCCCAGTGGAGTGGTAGAAAGAGGGTTACTTACACTAAGATCAGTTTAAATTAAAAAATGTTTTAAACACAAAAATCTGTCTACAGAAGCAACTGAAATGTTAGATTAACCCAGAGGAATGAGATGACAGATGTGAAATGTCCTGTACTCCAACTATCCTATAACACACACCATCTTAAATGCACTGTCTCACCCGTTACCCTGAGATACTTATCAAGAACATAAGATATTCCATAGCTTAGGAATGATTTTGGTTGTCTCATTAAAGTAATGTTTGCCTGTATTTAATTGCTTCCCTCCCTGATTTTAATTTCCTCACCTGTCAGCATCTATCAGAAACACTGAAATCTTCCGACGTCTTGGCTGATTGTGTTGAAATTAATCAGATTTTTTAAAAGTAAATTGCTTTGGCCTAAAGCTAATGCTTACTTCTTAATGTGATATTTATAAGGGCAAGGGTTCTATCAATGGAACTTACAATCTAGAAATTAAATGAAAGACTTTAGTAATCCTTAAAAAATGTAGGAAGCTTAAAAATCTCTACCACTGGACTTTGAAAGATAAGTACTAGAAGAATAGCATTGGCAAGATGACCAGTTAGAAGCCCCAGTGTGCATCCCGCTCACAAAGACAGCCAGAACAGGCTTGGCGCCTGTGGCTCAAGCGGCTAAGGCGCCAGCCACATACACCTAAGGTGGCAGGTTCGAATCCCCAGCCCGGGCCCGCCAAACAACAATGATGGCTGCAACCAAAAATGGCCAGGCGTTGTGGCAGGCGCCTGTAGTCCCAGCTACTTGGGAGGCTGAGGCAGGAGACTCGCTTGAGCCTAGGAGTTGGAGGTTGCTGTGAGCGTGATGCCACGGCACTCTACCCAGGGGGACAGCTTGAGGCTCCGTCTCAAAAAAAAAAAAAAAAAGACAGCGAGAACAACAATAAACTACATTTTAATGAAAATAACTAAACTAAGAGTATCTGAAAGTGTGTCAGGGGAGTAACTAAACCATAGTTAGCCCAGAAACTCAGGGTAACCACATAGAGAAAGGAACCATCCTCCCATTCCCCACTGGGAATAGCTGGCACCATAAGAATAAGAAGGTAAGCAAAGTACCTTCAACACCTACAGATACAGACATCAACCCTGGTGCCAGCTACAGTCCTCATATAAATCCACATAGTTGTGTCCTCCACCCATAATTAAAAACCAACACTGTGCCCTGCCCATGTGGCAGGTACAGCTTCTATACCACAACATCTTGGAAGTGGAACTATGACTGGAGTGTGTCCTAATTCAGGGATGAGTAGCCACAGCTCTCCTAAAGCTAAGCCACACAGCTGAAACACCCCAGCTTAGTGACCCAGCATTTACAAGCCACATGAGCAGCTGTTACACTCTTCTCCATGGGTCCACACCTCTCGCTCACCCTCCTTCAGACTGGAGCTGAAGTGGTACCTTGCCCCCTGGGAAAACAGTAACTTGGCCATTCTGAGCAATCACCCCACCCCACCCAGAACTTTAGCTGAAGTGGTACCCTATATCCCAAGAAAATGATGCCTGAGCTACCTACAACAGTAATATCCCCTAGGCCTAAGGAGAAGTGGCATACTGTCCCCTAGGGAATTGGTGCACTGGCTGAGCTGAGCAGTTATGCATCCTAAGGCTGAACTCATATGATAACCTATATCTTAGAAAAACAGAGCAGTGGCTAAGTTGAGCTACTCTACTCTAGAAACCAAACAACTCTAATACCCTGCTTCCCTGGAACTGGTATAAGTACCTATCATCTGATCTGCTGAGGTACCTGTCTCCTTTGGGAAGAAGACTCATTGCTGTGCTATCCCCTGGCCCACCAGGGTCCAAATAACAGTAGTGCTTTGCCATTGAGGTGCACTACTACTGCTGCTGAACCTGGCCACACAGAATGTAGGGTACAGCTGAGTCCTACCATCACAGGATCTAGAATCACTGGTACACGGTGCCTTATGCCCTGGGAC